CTCCATAACATTAATTTTGTTGGTTTGGAACCAAGACTTTGCTCGTTTACTAGTGTGTTTGGGGTCATTGTCTTGTTGAAACAACCATTTCAAGGGCATGTCCTCTTCAGCATAAGGCAACATGACCTCTTCAAGTATTTTGACATACGCAAACCGGTCCATGATCCCTGGTATGCGATAAATAGGCCCAGCACCATAGTAGGAGAAACATGCCCATATCATGTAGCTGGGTCTTGTTTGCTTTCTGAGAATCTACTGCACCTACTGGTAACTTGTTTGCCATGTAGCAATGAAAAATATACTAAAAACCTGGATTATTCTGGTTAGTCACATTGTACTGCTATTATTTTGAACAATACTGTAGTTTGTTATCCAGTTTTGCTCAGCACACCAGCCTTGCTGTGGCTGGATTTCTCCACGCTTCACCATATTATGATACCAGGCTGGAGAAAAGCAAGTTATTTATAACATTTAGGATGGCACAATTCCATGGAGAAAGATAGTAAACAACATTAGTGATGTTAAGTCTCATCAATAAGAAGCGTATGTACTGTAATAAAACCCATGGATAATACATACATAATCCTACAGTGAAAGTTTTATTTATTGTATTGTCGGTGTTGTTGTTATTGTCCATCTGGGGGCAGCTCAGCATGCTGAAACTCAACATCTAACATATTCTATAACTTCAAAAAGTTGTCATGGCTGATTTTTAGCATCCTTTGCCTGTTTGTACATGTAGTGTACATGGTACAAAATTAGCATCCATTTGTTGTCAGGATCGTAAGGATTCTTCAGTACTTTTCCAGAGGCATTTCTGTTTTATGAAGTTGCTTGGTGCTTTTTGAGCCCTGAAGTTGTTTTTAAAAAAAGTGAAAAAGGACAACATAGCAAGATTTATTCAACCATTTTCAGTAAAAATGAACTTGCTGCAAGAACCCTTGCTAGTATTTTTGTAGATTGTTAGTCACAATGTTACAGTTCTTGAATGCTTTTCCCCCCACTGGTTTAGACACAGATAACCAGCAAAAATGACTTGACAAGTTGAAAGTTTCAGCTGTGCACAAACAGATAAAAACAAACAACCTGACTTTGTAGCTCCTAAATGCTGCACTGTGTTTTCCAGCTACTCAGCACTATCAGGCAGCATGCAGTTGGTTTATCATTTTGCTGATAAATTCAGTAGATCCAAGAAGAACTTCCGAAGTGACTGATGCTGATATTGATTCATAGTGCACATAGTTGCTGTATTTGATCCTTTGTTACTATAAAAATATTGATTAATGCAGCTCTTCACCCTGATGGGACTTTTATTGGAGAATCCCCCCAGCATGTGCAATGAGAAAACTACTGTACTTCTAGTTTCCTTATACAGGTATGTCTGAATGTTTTTTACTATTCAGATTTATTCCTTTCAATGTAGAAAATACAATTTGTTCAGGTGGAAATTCTCAATCCAGTCAACATGAATAATAATATGTAGAGCCTCATTAGAAGAGTTTTGCTGGTGCAGCAGACAAACTGGCACCACACAGGCCTGTTGGAAGTATGCTTCAGGCTCCTCACCTGTTTCGAATATGAAATCATGTCTGGCGCTGTCATTTTCTGAAGATATATAGTTTGTCACTAGTATCCTTCTAACAACTCTTATGCTCAAACACTGTGAGGATCCAAGTAATTAGCAATTGGTTAGAACATTAAAGGTATGAGTCAGAGATGGCAGTGTCTGAAATCCCACCATTCACCTCCAGAAATGCACACACTGATGACGTGAGTCATTGTGAGCCAGAGGCAAGGATCTATCTATTAGTCTCAATGATGTGTCAGACCTCACTGGACACTGCATGAAAACGCTCTGGCATCCTGATTGGAAAAGACAACAAGAGCTCTATTACCTATTTGTTTGTCTTGGCTGTTTTACCTTGATTAGGATCACTCACACACTCTACTCATGGCAGAAAGACAGCAAGGAAACAGACCTAAAACCCAAAAACCTCCAAGCCATCTTCATACAAACTGTATGGACACATTGAATGTAAGAAATAGTGTCTGTCTGTCTTTTTTTCACAAACTGCTTTTCTACCAGACTTTCTATCAGACCTAAAACTCTGTGTGCTTTTGTATTGAGTTGTTTTAAATCAGTGCATCCAAGGCCTTGGCCTAAAGCAATCACAGAAAGATTTACTGCTTGATAATGACATGCACACAGACACAGAGCCATAAAACAAAGACATTATTTACTATGAATACTTTTATCTTGCATGATCACAGGGCACCCCACTACATGATGGATTCAAAGGCCATCACTTCTTCAAAGAAGCAGAGTTTAAAGCATGTGAGTCAGACATTCTTTACAGCTAATGAGGATATATATAGTCATAAATCAGACAGTTGCATTAAAACAAAGGTTAGAGCACTGGCATGTGTTTGGTGTGATAAAAACAGCCTTAATGTTTATTTCACAAAGCAATTCATTCTTTGCTGTGTCATTGTGCATGCCACTTGCCATACTGCTGTATCAACACCTATCTAGTTCTTGTAGAATAGTTTTTGCATGTGTGCTGCTCTGTCACTTATGGAGCCCTGAAAATGACAAAATGTTGTGAAAGGTTATCAGATAAATCAAAATGACTGTGCTGTTAGCTGCAGCTTACCTGAAAGGTGCCAAGGAAAATGAGAAATGTTAGTTGAGAAAAATAGGAAATACACTGCATACATGATTATAAATGTCATAATGAGCTGAAGAATTTGGCGATGTCATGAAAGATAGGTAGAAAGGTAAAACAAAAAAAGTCAAAAAGGGTCTGTTTTTACCAACTGTAAGTGCATTATTTTATTTCATGTGTATTTAGCTAGCATCATTGTTTATTGATGTAGTCAATTATAGTTTTGACCTTTTATATGTATGTTAAAAATATGAATGTGCTACACTGTAGATGCAGGGTGGTGCAACTTTGCCAGTGGCCAGGCATTGGCACCTCCTGCCTGCCAACCTGATGGCTTTGCTCAGGAGGGTAATGTTTTCCTGAGTCTGAATGAGACACTCTTTGAAAAGGTGCCCATTACCAGGCCAGGCCAGGCCAAGCCGAGGCAGACAGGCTCCTGACTGTTTGCTCCCTGCCGCTAGAGCTCTGAGGGTTGGCTCCTGTTTTGTCCGTGCTGGCAGTCCGAGGAGGTGGCTAATGCTGCACTGTAGCTCAATAGACTGTACAGGCAGCTCACACTATGGGTTGTGTCCACTGTAGGCCTGATGACTTAGTAAACTCCTGAGATCACAAACCTAAAAACACAGACTCATTTGTATAAATCGATGTATAATTCATTTTATAATGGAAAGGACAATAATAACAGCACGCCACAGAGACGGGAACAGCATGTTGTTTTCATAGCAGAGTCTTCAGGAATGATTTTGGTCATTGGCGGTGCTGTTGCTGTATAGGGTAGTGGGAGGAAATTGCAGTGTGTGGCTGCTGCGTGCAGCACCGAAAACATACACATTAGGAAACGTGTCCTCCAAAGACCTGCTTTTACTCCACTACCATCCCTTTGAGTTACTGGATAAAACAGGTACAAATTGAATCTAGACACTGTTTGGATTAGTGGCAAGGTCCGCCAATATTGGATTTAGTTTACCTTCACTTGCACAAGGTTTTCATAGGAAACGATGCAGCATGTAATTTAGTATTAGTGTTCTATTTGATATCAGCCTTACTTTACTTTCACTCACTCTCCAGAGTTTGTTCTGCTGAGCTGTCAACAGATACAGTACACCAGCTGCTCTTCTGTTTTATCCCAGACGAAGTAGCTGCTCAATGAGTGTTTTCTAGTGTTAAACCAGACTTGTTCACCCCCGGTAATGCAGTAAGAATGTAAAACTAATTGACCAACAAAAATGAAACAATGAAAATGTTGCAATGCAGGTTTAGACCAACTTGTAACTTCTCATGTAACCAGCCTAAGCTAAACTATTGCAACAAGACTTCTGCAGCTGCTTCACAATAAAGCCATAATCACTTCTCTACAGTAAAAATTTTACATGAAAGCGTTTCATGCCACTTGAAACGCTGAGTTTGCATCAACACCCTTTTCAGAGTCCCAAATGACTGCTACTCAAGTTCTTTATCAGCCCTTTGTCCCAGCATTGGTGGTTACAAAAACCACCATGTCAGCCCACCTTAGCTTCAGATAGGCAGAAAGAACTGTGCTCATGCGGGCGTTTAGCGGTGCTAGCTAAAACAAAAAACATGGCTTGACAGCAAGCAACTGTGAATCATGTTGGCAGCAGTCAGAGTCTGAACATGCTACATTATGAACCTCTTCATGGCTGACTTTTATGATTCAATTCAAAGGCTGTCTTCATGTCATCAAGAACCCACAGTAGTTTAGCTCTTGGATGGGGCGGGGTTTATAACATGCTACTAGCCAAATACAGTTGACATGCTGTAAAAGCCAGCAGAGGCTTTATCTGACTGCTGTACCGACTGGAGGTCACTCTAAAATTTTGTTGTACACGTTACAATGACAATGAAAGATTATCTTATTTTATTTTATCTTTTCCTCTTCTGCATCACTGTTTGCACATACTATATGTGTTTGATCCAGTTTATTTGGGTAGCTGTGGCTCAGGAGGTAGAGCGGGTCCTCTCCTAACTGGAAAGTTCACGGTTCTGTTCCTGGCTTCTCCAGTCCGCATGTCGAAATGTACTTGAGCAAGACACTGAACCCCCAGTTACTCCCAGTGATGTCACCGGTGTGTGAGTGCTTGGGAGTGCAATTGGGTGAATGGCCAAAAAGTGTGAAAGCACTTTGAGTGTGCTGCAATGCATATAAAAGTGCTATACAAGTATAAGACCATTTACCATTGTAAATCTTGTACAGTAATCCAACACCAATCTTTGGCTTTCTACTCAGCATTGTGTGCTGCACATACCAATCTTACATATTGTATTTCATTTTCTCACCACCTTTTCATTTATCTTATCTTTCATTTTCTTTTCCAGATGTAGATCCAACTCCAGGTGATCCATTGGTTCCTGTAATCCTGGTGAGCCTGCTGCCCCTGCTGGTGATGGGGATTGTGATTGTGATAATGTTCTACTTGTACCGAGCTTACCAGCAACGCATGCACAACCAGGAGTGGGAGAGCAGCATTAAGAAGCGCAAGCCAAAAGCTGGAGGGCTGGACTGCAGCGATGCCTGTGCCATCATGTTGGATGATGACAGGTCAGACAGCAGCTCAACGCACGCCAACAACCTGAACCACAACACTGAGCCACTGCCTATAGAGCTGGATCTGCTGGTATGCAGACTTAGTAGTATTTTACAGTTATTTTGTGGACCTATACTATACTCTCCCATTCTCACTAAAGTGGTCATTTTTCATCTTCTTCCAGGTGGGAAAAGGTCGATTTGCTCAGGTATACAAGGCTAAGCTGAAGCAAACCACCTCAGATCAGTTTGAAACCGTGGCTGTGAAGATTTTCCCCTTTGAGGAGTACGCTTCCTGGAAGAACGAGAAGGACATTTTCTCTAATACGGACCTTAGGCATGAGAACGTCCTCCAATTTCTGACAGCTGAGGAGCGGAAGGTGGAGAAACAGTACTGGCTTATCACTGCCTTCCACCCAAGAGGAAACCTGCAGGTGAGAGCACTTCTGTCAGGGTAGCCAGCATTAGTGTAGCACTATTACTCCATGTTGTAAAATATTGTTCCCACAGCAGATACTCTTTTTTTTTTCTATCATGCAAAGTTAACCTGTTTGAAAATCTCCAGCCATTTTTTTCACACTGCTACAAATCCCATCATCCCTTTCCAGGAGTACCTGACACGTCATGTGATCAGCTGGGAGGAGCTGCAGGTGCTGGGCAGCTCTCTGGCTCGGGGTGTCGCCCACCTCCACAGTGACAGACTCCCCTGTGGACGCCCTAAGGTAGGAATGTCTGGAACTGTTAATCAGTGCTTTACATGCATTAGAGCTGAAGAATCTGAGGCTGCATAAAAGGTATTTAATGATTATAATATGTGTAGAAGAAGCAGTATATTAGACCACCAAATTATAAACTTAAGGTTCAAAGCATTACATGAAACAGTGTTACATATAGTGCTATTAAAAATAATTGCAATAGTCATTATTGTCTAATTATACCTATCCTGTCATTTCAGGTCTTTGAGCTTTAACAGTGGTGGGAATGAAAAAGTTAAGAGCTTATCACCCTGTGAGCAAGAATGTATTTAGTAATTTTCATGGGAGTTAAGTTAGTAAATTTTAAGATACTTTGCGTGTACAGTTGATATTTTGGCCTGACAGGCTGGTGCTACAGGAAAGGTTGGGAAGCACCAGAAAAGACGAGGGGTTATTCTCTAGGGAACATAAATAGTCACAATAAATTTAATTTAAAATAAATTTAATGGAAAAATCTAGCCATCAGTTTCCTATACAGTCGGTAAAGGGCGGTGTTGCATTTTAACGGAGATGGCTAAACAAACCAGACTCACATAATATTAGGTTATCTAAAACCAGACACATGGTCCCAGCAGTCTTTTCTTTAATAAAAGTGGACCACAATGTTCAAAAACACTTCTAATAAAGTACAAATTTCACCTTTATGTGGCTTGTCCTTGTGGGCTTTGTTATTCTTTTTCTGCAATTTGTTGAGGTCCAACCTTAATGTACAGCTATGCATCGAACACAGGTCACCCTTGAAGTGGATATTCCCACCCCACTCCCTGACCACAGGGGGAGGCATTTAGTAAATTGCTGCTTGGCCTACCAAAATGAGGAGGAGAAGATGATAAACTACTGGTTGGGGCTGCCTTCTATTGTAATTCACACTGGCTGACAAAAAAATATATGGTAAAATAAGAACAAAAGCTCAACTAGAAGAGTCTCAGTCGACTCTCGACTAATGATTCAACTATTCAACTATTAGGGGGCAGCCATACTTGTATAATAAGTTACTAATTTATTATGAGGGTCGTGCAAAGGGGTATCTCATGTGTTCACACTAGAAAGTTCATGGCAATGTGTTTGTTAGACTGTGATATTTATTGTAACCAACAGAATTTTCATCAAAAGAGAATTTTAAAAAATATCTCCACAGATATTCACAGCACAGTAATGGTAACCAAACATTTTAAAATGTGTTTATATGCCTTTTGTTTGTATGTGCAAGTTCATATTTGCTCTTTGGATTGTTCATGTTTATCCTAAGATTGTCTACTTTAATGCTTTTTTTAAAAACTTGGACAATTCTACTTGTTTTGTGCCTAAAGGTGCCCATAGTCCACCGTGACTTGAAGAGCTCCAACATCCTGGTAAAGAATGACCTGACAAGCTGCTTGTGTGACTTTGGGCTTGGACTTTGTCTGGACAGCAGCCTGTCTGTGGATGACCTCGCCAACAGTGGCCAGGTCAGGTGGCAAACCGCTTCTAAGAACTTTTGTTCCTTATTATTTCCTTGTTATCGATCATTATTTTAGCAAGACTGGGTTGAAAGAGTACACTGCTCTTTGGTATTTCAGGAAGTCACTTAACTTCTCCCTGCTGTATTCCAGATAGGAATTGCAAAATGGCAGCAAATGACCTATAGAGTACCAGACTTTCTACAGCAACTTGTCCATTCTTCATATACAGATATGACCAGTGATGGAAGAATTACGTGGTTCTTTATCTTAAGACAAAGTAGAAATACACCCTACACTGCAAAAATATTGTGTTACAAAAAATCTATGCATTTAAAAGAGGCCTATTTAAGGCTGCATTCACTAAGATTTTGCACAAATTCAGATAAATCAAGTAAAAAATTGTCTAGATGTGTTGTCTCACTGCTGTACCAAACCTCCACCCCAGCTCTGTTATCTTCAGTCCTTGTGTTTATTTCTTGCCCTCTGTGGCCACTGTTGTTAAAATCCACGCTGCACTTCTTCCACACCCCGATGATCCGAGGTTATAAGATGCATTTTTCAAACCAGTATGGCTCATTTCAGATAGAGACCATGGAGGCTGCCTGTGCAGGTACAACCCAAGATGGGAGTGGACCTGTTAGAGCCAGGAGGCCATGTTCTGTAGCACAGATAGAGTGTGACACAGAACGAGGCAAAACCATGGTTAACATCAGTTTGGCATGGAGAGCATTAAAAGCTTCCAAAGGACTAAAGTTTGACATGGATGTGGATTTCTTCCTTCTAGACACCTAAGTATCGTAGCTGGCTAACATGTATATAATGGCATCATTAACAAGCTAATGTTAGACTTTCAGTTTTGTACCTTTGTAACCAATTATTCTGGCTGTTTTGTAGATTTGTTCCAATTAACTGCAGCATTAATGTTTTGTTGTCCAATTAGCAGAAACCATGTGTGTGAAAAGTAACAAATAATTAAAGTTGTTAGCTAAGTGTTTCGCATTAAAGCTATATTTCTCAATATTTGCATTGCACTGAAATCTAGTAGAGTAGATGTATAGAGCAGCATGAAATGAAAGTAGTAAAGTAACTAAAACAGTACTTAATTAAAGTACTTTCTTTTTATCACTGAATATATTCACTGCTACAGTTCTGCCCTGCGACATTTCCTGTTAGTCTCAGGTAACAGTGGTTACAAACAAAGTACTACTGCCAGGTGTTTATTGTGTAGCTACTGTACAAGTTGTGGGTTTTGAAGAGAAAGCACATAATATGCTGTTATGGCAACTCTCTGTTTACCATCAAAGCCCCATTACCACAGCTTCGATCTGGCTTTTGGTGAGAAACAAGCTGGCTGTGTTTGATTTGTCTACTTCTGTCAGTCTCTCTCTGTGTTCATGTGTTTTGATAGCATAAACCTCATTTGCTGTCACAACAAATCTGACAGGGACAATATCTCAAGGAATGATGGCAGACGTAAAGGTCTTGTTGTGACATGCAATCTTTTTCTCTGTCAGTGCTACTTTGTTTTTCTTGTTTTTGATTTGTGATTGGAAATGCATTAATGGCAGTGAGTGCTAACCTCTGCCCCCCACCTGAGCATACAAACATACACATACAGTAGATACATCAAAAGCCAGGGTATGATTTGGAAACCACACACCTTCCTGCTAATTTTCATCTCTATCCTTCCTTGTTAGTTGCAGAATGAAGAGTGAGGTGCTTTTGTTCCTGTGCTGTTTTATCCATCGATTTTTCCATTCAAATGTTCAAATCATGATTCTTGGCTGCACAGTGGTACTCCATTCACAACTGGAAACTGGAAATGACCAGCTGGTAATGTGAACCCTATGTGTGTGTCCAGCTTGGAAAATCGAGTGAAGAAACATCCACAAAACGTTCGTTGTCCTCCATAAAAATTCTCTTCCACGTGCAACACCATCAGTACTTTGCAACCACAGCCAGTAAGCTTGTGCGACTACACATTTTGATAGCTATAAAGTTATGCATTGCTGAAAACCAAAGTTAAGAGTTCACTGTGTGTTATTAAACTAGAGGGAACAGTAGTGCTTTGTAGTATTTATAATGTTCTAGTTTCTTACATTGATAATTCTGACATGAGCCAAAGCAAACATTAAAATCATAACAAAACCTCAGCAGGGACTGTGACCTCCAGCTCTCACAGGTATTAGAATGAGTGTCATCACACCTGCAGTGATTGTTGTACTGCCAGGTGTAATTATTGTTGTTGTTATTATTATAACAGATTTTTTTGCTAGCAGGGGCCTGCCCTCACTGAATAGTGTGATGAAGGGAGATGGTATGCTTGTATACTTTGCAGTTTTGGGGAAGGCTAAGGAGGTCAGCACCACTCTCGGGCACTGGCAGACCCCCAGCAGGAACAGGAGAATAGGATAGAAAAAAAATGGCGGGGGGGGGGGAATGCTGGTGGGTAACAAGCGGAAGAGGAAGTACTGTATGAAGGTTCAGGGAGTTTAAATAGTGTGGGAACGGAAGGGGTTTAGTTCAGGCATGGTCCCAGTCCTGAACTTCAAACAACTATCTCCATTTTGAATTCAAAAGTTCATATGTTGTTTACAGTGCCGGAGGGGTGGGGCAAACCTGTCTTGCAGCAGGTTTGTCCCACAGGTTTCTGAACTGGGACTTGCTGGTTTTCACCTGGGGGCTTGACGTGAAACTTATTGGTCTTAACTTCAAATGGATTTGTCTTGATTTGGAGCTTGACTTGGAAATTATATTCGAATAGATAATTGACTTGTTGGTCTTGATTTTGGACTTGACTTAAAAGTTATCAGTCTTAACTGGGGGCTTCACTTGGAACCTATAGGCTTTGAACTAGGACCTGACTTGGGACTAACTGATTGTTATGGAAACGCTCGACACAAGGGTGAGCGAGCGGAGAAAACAGCAGACCCAGGCAGCTGGCTTCGGTGCAAGCAAAGATTTATTTACAGTGTTTAAGTAGTGCATCAATATATACAAAGTGAAGTGGTGAATATAACCGGGTGTCGACCAGCAGTAGCAGGAGTTATGGTACGTGGAGTGATGAAGGACCGGGCTGCAGGGGTCGGAATCACTCCTGGGCTGGTCGGGCAGGAGATCCGGCTGACAGAGGAGGTAATAGGAGAGATACAGTTAAATTGGAGACTGTGCATCGACCTGTGATGGTGGTGGTTGGTGGAGCTGAGGGTGCCAGGATCCAGAGGAGAGGTCCAAACGTAGAAGGAAGCAGTGAACACACAAACATACGTAGAACAACGGACCAAACAAGAAAGAGCAATAATCCTAGGGAGGTCTGACGACGGAGAAAGAACTAGCAGGGGAGTGATGGGTGAGCAGAGTATAAATGAGGAGTGAGACAAAAGAGGCGCAGCTGATGAGTGTCGGAAAATCAGGGCAGGTGTGTCTAATCAAATAATCAGTGTGAGGGAGCTGAGAGAAAAGAGAAGAAAGGAAGGTGCAGCCGGGCAAACCTGACACTGATCTTGACCTCTTTTCACACCTTCAAGATTTTACAAGGAACTCATCTGAGCATACACAAACACTGCAACACAACAGCAACCTGAAAGACTAATATGATATGGCATTAATTGTCTGTGTGGTATGCCAAGGTGAGAGTGACATGCTGTTATTTTATTTAGTTATTTATTTGTCTACCTGATTACAGAAATCCTAAGTCCATTCCTATGCTTGCTGTATGTGTGTGTGTATATGTGTGTATAAACTCTTTCTGGTGTCTCTGTGCTGCAGGTGGGTACAGCACGTTACATGGCTCCGGAAGTGCTGGAGGCCCGGCTCAATCTGGAGAACATTGAGTCCTTCAAACAGACTGACATTTACTCCATGGCCCTGGTGCTGTGGGAGATGACATCCAGGTGTGAAGCAATTGGAGGTCAGTGCACCCACACACACACCAGAAGCACACACACATTCAGTAACTACCTGTTTCAGGATGTGGTAGTATGAAGTCGTGATAAATGAGCACACACACTCAGTGATACCACAGCGAATCCTGCTGAGATGAGTTGACTCAACAGTGACAATGCATGTCATGTTATAGGTTATCACAACAAAAGCTCAGCAGGCATGCCGATTAGCCGGTAGTGATGTCATCATGTAAGAGTAGAGTGCAGCAGATGTTTTTGTCACAACAATGAAGGTGTGTGTTAGGTTTTACTTGCGGATTAGTTCTTGCATGTAGCAACACAGGCAACATTTGAAACTGTGCAACATCTGTAACAGGATGCTTGGTCTCCTCAGTTGATGTTCTTCATGTGGATAATTAACTCCACTCACTTTTATGCATGAAATACCTTAATGGGTAATGCTGGTGATTTTTTTATTTTTTTTTATTTTCATTTTTCTCAAATCCCATAAAGGGGCTAAAACCATCAATGAAATTTGTGTGCTCACTGACTTGTGTCAACATAGATCTTAGGTTAAGTGTGGCTGTCACTGTGTACAGTTTACAGTGAGAGAGCCAGCTGCTGTAGCTTCTCTGCTGCTACAGTAAGTGTACCACTAAGCATGAGAAGTGGATCGTGCAGATGCACGTGCCACTCTTGCTAATGTTAAATAACATTGTCTTGTAGGTCATTTGCTGTTTCAGACTAGATGATAAGTAAGTTTTTTTTCCTTCTCAATTCAGTTTGACCACAATATTCTGGTTGCCACTGGGATGTGATGAACCTGATGATGAAGGCCTTGGAGTGTGAGAAATAACTGTATTTGGTATATTTCTGCCATAAGCTGGAAGTTCATTGCTTAGAAAAGAAATAAAGAAGAATCGTATGATGTTTAGTTTTAGTTCTTACAATCAGCATAAATACTAAAAGCATGAGAACTTCTACTGTAGGCATCCAAGAGAAAAATAAAATTTCAATTAGACCAGTAATCTGTACTCCTAATACCTACTGTACATGCACAGTACTAACAGTGTGTCTCTACTGTACGCCTATGTGTGTTTGTGACCTAAATATTGCAGACGGTGCAGGTAAGTGCTTCTTGCAGTGAATGAGGGTTTGTGTGTCAACAGGGAGGGTGATGGTCTTGTTTGTCAGATTACACTTCAATCGCAGCTCCAGGAATCTGAGGAATGTCTGACATGTGCGGGAGACAAACTGAGCTCTTCTGTTGCCCTTCTTTGGGCAGGAAATCAGGAAGAGCACCAGAGTGGATACTGTACCTGCTCCGCCAAGATGTGCATGTGTGTATGAGTGTCTGTGCTCACAGGAATAGGAAGATTAAAGTAAGAGTATATTTCATGCTCAAATTGAATTGTGCGTGTGACTGTGTGTATCTCTATAGGCATCATCTACCGATGTGGCCAGTCAAATACAGACTTTTCCAGCTTTACCTAGCTGGCTAATTAAACTGAAATTATTTCTATGAGTTGATTGAAATGACTGGCTCCAGCTTACATACATTATATTCTGAAAGGCTGAGGCTGAAGCTGCATGATTTGACAGCTATTGGTGATTTGACTCCATGGATCCACTTCCAGTCGCTACTATGCAGAATCTGGTTGCAAACTCTCTCACAAAAGCAAGATATAGTCCACACATTTACTACATTTTGGCATCACTTTGGCAAAGTGGCAGGATGTGGTGATGTGTCGTACATTTTTATATACTGTAGACTACATGGCCGACATGGCAATGCTAAAATCCCACTGAAGTTTCATATTTGTTTGTTTTTCTGCCACAGCACATGTATCTGCTTTGTTCTCCTCTGAGAAAAAATCTGAAACTAAAATGTCGAAATTTACTGTTATGTAGATGGAGACCTTTATTTTTATACAGTATTGTCAACATTTCATTATAGGATTTTTATTGACTATAGAACCAAGTCTTAACCCTCAAACAATTCTGTGGGCTGAACAAAACATTGTCAGCCTTAGGTTTTAATCTTGGTCACATAGATAGAAGTACATATACACACAACACAAAAACTCCAGTCTCCTCCCTGTAAAGAGGGAGTCACTGAGACATTTAGAACTAGAAAGCTACACTACAGCGCACGTGTGTGTGTGTCTGTCTATGTGTTTTAGAGAGAGCGATATACCTACATAGAGACGGAGGTAGTAGACAGACACACTCATGTAGCCCTGTTTCTGTTTCTCTGTCTGTGTTAATCTGGGATTGTGTGTATGTGTGTTTCCTCTGTCTCCACCCTAACAACAGGGCACAGAATTATGAATAGAAATACTACCCTGCGCTGGCATTGTTGTTGTGGTCAGTGATAGTACATGTTCTGTGTGCCTCTGAGCATTTTATTTACATATCCTGATTTAGCCTGCAGGGTGTGGCAGGGCCTGTGTGTTCTGTCTGAGCTGAGGGTTATTCAGGGTTATGGAATGGGCTGAAGGGTTTGCACTGTGCCAAGCAAAAGCACTGTGGTCCATGAGGGTTGTTCACAGAGTAAGAGGGGGTAAAAAGAATAGTTCAACACTTCTTGGAAATGCATGCACTTGTCCTTTTTTGCTAACAGTTATTAATAGAAGACTAATGCTATTCTGTTTGTAAAGTGTTTAGCTGGAGTTTTGATGCAAGATGGCGCTCCTCGGGATGCAGCGTAGCAGTTCACTCGGAGTCAGGTTGTTTCTCTTTTGTCTCTTTTTTGATTATTTGTGCCGTGTTAAAGCAACAGTAAAGACCATAAACTTTATTTATGACCAGGTGACTTTGTTACTGCTAAGAGAGCGTCTTTTTGGAGATTTTGACCCAAGCATGTTTGACTCTCACGCAAAGCTAATATGCTATGTCAACACGACACCAGGCCGATCCCCGGCAGACAGCTCATAAACTGAATGAACTCCACGCTTGGATTACTTTGCAGAAGGACATACAGGACACTCTCCCTGCTGTGTTTTTGTAAAACATGGCTGGGAAAAGAGACTCCTGATGAGGGTATAACTCTGAATGGTTCAGACAGGATCGCAGCAAGACCCGCGGAGGAGGAACGGCCGCCTTCATCAAACAGTCCTGGTGCACAGACTGTAAGAGTCTCTCTAAATTCTGTTCTGAAGATATGGAATATTTAACACTAAAGCTAAGGTCATTTTATTTACCTCGAGGGCTGCATCATTGTGAATGTAGTTTACGCCCCCCCCATCAGGCAAAGAGGAAGCTGCACTGAAGGAACTTTACAGAATGATTAATGAGCATGGAAACACATATCCTGATGCTGCTTTTATTATTCTGGGGGATTTTAACCACTGCAATCTCAGGAAAAGCCTAAACTGTATCAGTTTGTAACCTTTCCTACTAGAGGAAACAAAACACTGGACCAATGTTACAGTAACATTAGAAACGCTTTCTCAGCTGAACCTAAACCTCATTTTGGTAGATCTGACCACCTAGCAATCCGGCTCAAACCTGCTTACACCAAACGACTCAAGGTGAAACCAGTCTCGGTGAGAACTGTTAACACCTGGAACGACAGCCTGCAGGGCTGTCCAGAGGCCACCTACTGGAGCATCTTCAAAGGGGCCACAGACAACATCCATGAATGTGCATAGACTGTGAGTGACTACATCAGCTGGGGCACATCCATATGCGCACCAGCCAGAACGGTGCATGTTTTCCCCAACCAAAAACCCTGGTTTAATAGCGATATAAAACAGAAAATCAGGAAGAGACGAGAGGCTTTTAAGTCAGGGGACCAAGCGGAGTACAGGAAATCCCAGTCCATCAGAGCTGTAAAGAGAGCATACTTGCAAAAACTGGAGAGCTACTATATGAATAACAACACGCGCAGTATGTGCCAGGGACTCCAGGCAGTCACAAACTACAGGAATAAATCAACAAACACAGACCCCCAGGACGCCACCCTCCTGGACAGCCTCAACAACTTTTATACGAGGTTTGACAGGATGAACACGGACACCCCCTCAAAATCCCCCTGAGACTCAGGGAACACTGCTTTTCAGGTGATGCACAGACAGGTCCTGAAGGCCCTGAGACAGGTAAACCCCCATAAGGCAGTGGGACCAGATGGTGTCCCCCCTAGAGTGTTGAGAGCCTGTGGAGATCAACTAGCTAGTGTGTATACAGACATCGTCAGCCTGTCCTTAACCCAAGCAGTAGTTCCTTGCATTTTCAAAAAGTCCATTATCATACCGGTCCCTAAGACATCAAACACTGAATGACTTCAGACCAGTGGATTAATGTCCATCAGTCTGTCAGTCCTGGATTGACTGGTGACAAGATGGCGCCAGTGTTGGTGGCTGCTCGTCTGTTGCTCTCATTCTGGCTGATGATTGTGGCGTTTTTAATTGTCAGTGTATCAAGGATGGAGTCTCTGCTGGTGTACGATCGCCGGTTCCTTTTGGACCTTCAATCTAAGGGCAGGGATCTACAGTGCCTTGCGAAAGTATTCGGCCCCCTTGAACTTTGCGACCTTTTGCCACATTTCAGGCTTCAAACATAAAGATATAAAACTGTAATTTTTTGTGAAGAATCAACAACAAGTGGGACACAATCATGAAGTGGAACGAAATTTATTGGATATTTCAAACTTTTTTAACAAATAAAAAACTGAAAAATTGGGCGTGCAAAATTATTCAGCCCCCTTAAGTTAATACTTTGTAGCGGCCAACACAAACTAGACTTTTTCAGTAATTTGTTGCTTTGCTTTCCTTCATCAAAAGGACCTAAACAATTGTTAACCTCAGCTCGAAAATGATTTTCAGAACTCAAAGATCTCCGGTACAGCCTAACACTAAACAATTCCTCATGATCTGCCTCTGCAGGGGTACTAATGCCATCGGAGCCACACTGTATAAAACAAATACATGAAACGATCGATTTAATTCATGTAGACTGATGAATGCACTTTTGACTGTTTTGGCATTTTGTGATGTGACTTTGTGGTGTTGGGTGCCTTTAATCC